CCTTGTCTTATTCAGAAGAGGACCTTTCTGTTTCATTTTTAAATTTAAAATTTGCAGTGTTGGGAGGATGTGTGTGACAGCCAGTGCTAGGTTTTTTTTGTTAGTAATATGAAGGATCAGGAATATTTCTAGACTTTTTCTTCCTTTTTATTTCTTTAGAACCATTTGAATGAGAAAAGCACTTTGTCTGCTGAATTGGCAGTTCTTGTGTGCTGAATTGACTCCTCTCTCTCTCCCCTTCTGGAAGATGGGAGTGTTGATGGATCTAGGAACTTAGTTTTTCAAAACTTGGCTTCTCTTAGTCTTTGTTTTCCTTGGCATGAGGAGCTTTCAAGTGAGTTCAAAATGAAGCAGAATTGTTTTCTTCTGCAGTGTAGTGGAAGTCATGGCAGGCTGCTCATGGTATTCTTGATGTCACTGCTGATAAAATTTATCTTTTAAAAACACTTCTCTTTGAAGCTACCCAAGCTGCTTGCTTACTTAGGCAAGAAACCTGTGTAAACAGGCAACTTGTCAAAGGTGGCAAGTTATTACATCAGTACTTCCTTGCTGATGATAAACAGTGGGAAAATAGTAATGATGAAGAAAGGAAGGTCTCTTCCCGGGCTGGTCAAATCACTGACTAGTCGTAAATGTGGGAGAATTCTTCTCCCACATAAAGAACACGTGACCAAAGAGTCAGGAGACCAAGTGCTGGTTCCTGTGTTGTGGATCCTCAAACCTGATACACAATTGAGGGCATTCCCTGTCTGGCCATGTGGAAAGAGTGTCTTTTATGAATATAGTGGCTGGCTGAAACAGTGCTTAAGGTTGTGGATATTGTGTCCATTAAAAAGCTTTTGTTTGGAAGCGTATATAAAATGTCCAGAATTCTAGTTTTACCTACTGTGATGATAATCTTTTAGAAGGAAAGGCGGAGAAAGCTAACTCTGGAAAATAGCTGCAAGTTGCTTTAAGTTAGGAATACTAGCACACTGTTCTGAGAACTGAAAATAAGACTTAAAAAAAAACAGCCCTGCAATTTTTTGTCAGAGGAGCTTTTTTTTTTAAGTGCTTTTAAATTTAACCTTGTCAAAATGTTTATTTCTAATGACTGTGCTGTATCATTATTTTTAATACTAAAATGTTGGAAATTTGAGCCTTTTAGTATTGCAAGCAGGATTAGTCTGGTGGAAAATCGGTAATCATAGTTTCAGTCTAACAAACTGGAAGAAAGAACATCAGTAGCCGAAGTTTATTTTTTTTGGTACTTGTAATGTCAGACCGACGTTTGCCCAGTAGAGGGCAATAGGTAAGTGCCTGCACACGTGCAGTGCTTGGGAACTCCTGCTGGGATCATGTGGGTGGTTGGTGTTTAGGATTTGTTTTGTGTTTCCGGTGGTGTTGGTGGTGATGAGAACAGACTTCTGGACCCAACTGTCCACAGGAAGCAGTGCAGCACTGCTTGATTACAGTTCTCTGGACTTCTTCCTTTCCTCACCTCCCCAGCTTGTTTCCCCTTCAGTGTAGGTGACATTACAAATGCTCAGAAACTTAACTATCCAGAGGATTATTAAAGATTTCTTGAACAACAAAGAGTTAAACAAATCCTAGACAAAGATATTTGAAATCTCTTTAAGACAAATACTGTTTGACAGACTTTCTTCAGCCTTTTCTTGTCCGTAGAACTGCTAGTTTGCAGCTTGAAATATACTTCTCAGATAGCGTATGGACAAAAGTGACAGCTATAACAGTCTTGTAATTATTGGTGACGTATTATCAGGCTTTCAAGTATTAACAGCAATCTGAAGAGTATGTTTTAGTCCGTATGATTTTATTTCTTGCTAATCTTATGCAGTGTCTTCTCTCACAACTTTCCATGTTTCCTTTTTAGTCTGAAACTCAGAACAGCAATGCAGTGGCTGGTCAGGAGCGCGCTCCAGCTGTGTCCACTAGCACATCCATGAGTCCCCGGCAGCGCCGTGCTCAGCAGCAGAGTCAGAGACGGGCTCCATCCTCCACTGACTTTAACCGGGCACAGCAGCCGAGAGTCAACACGAACCACACTGGATCAACTGTTCTGATTGTCCTTCTGACCTTTGCGTTGGCAGCTCTTATATTTCGCAGAATATGTTTGGCTAACGAGTATATATTTGAGTTATAAGGTTGTTTGTCCTAACAGCAGGGACCTGAATGCTTCATTGAACATTCTGTATTGGGTATGACATGAGAACTGTTTACAAAGGCTACGTTTTGTATTTATGCTTAAATCCTTACGAATGTTGTTAATGTACCTACAGATACGTTACTTGTAAGAAAAGCAAAGTGGGACATGTGTTATGAGTGCCCACTAGAGAAACAGTGCAGTGGAATAGTAACATTAAGGCACGTCGGATGGGCCTAAATTTGAGTAATTTATAAACTAGAAAAAGACAATTTTTAAAAAATGGTTGATTAATTTTTTATGGAACATAAATGCAATTAATCACCCATGTAAGTTAGTATAAGATTTTAAATTGAAGAGGGAATTATAAAATGAAACACCACTATGTGTTTGTGTCCAGTGAACTCTTTCGTAACCGCTTTGATTTACCATGACACATTTCTAGAGGGGGAACACATACAAATTGTGAAGCTGCTTTATGTGTGTGGAAGGGGGAAAGGAGAAGGGGAGGAAAGAAGAGGCCGGAAAACGACTTGCATTATTTTGATTTTTATTTTTTTGGAAGAAAGATTGGATAATCTTTTGAAAGATTTGAATGTCCTCTTCTAGTATTTTCAATTGTATATCTTGTTTTTAAATTTGACAATGCTACAAAACATGTCTATTCTTGCAATAGTTATAAATATGTAATATAATTATTTACCTGGAGCTATTGTCTTTTCATTATACCAGAAATATACATAATGTGTTGAACTGAATGTTTTGCGTGTTGTTTTATTTACTAAAGAAAATTTAAACCTTATTATACTTAAACTCTCATATATCTGAACGTGCTTAAGAGAAGTATTTATTGCAATCCTACTAGTAATAAAGTTTCAAACCACTCTTTGGATATGCTTCAAATATCACATGGCATTTTATTTATTGTTTGTTTGGGTTTTGGGTTTTTTTGTCTGGGTTTTTTTTTTGTTTTGGGGTTTTTTTTAGTTGGTTGGTTTTTTGTTGTTGTTTTGGGGTTTCTTTGGTGGTTGTTTTTTGGGTTTGTTTTTTGTTTAGGGGTTTTTTTTTGGTTGGTTGGTTGGTTGGTTGGGTTTTATTTTGTTCACTTGGAGGGGGTTAGTGGTTTTGGGGTTTTTTTTAACCTAAAATCTATATTAGACCTAGAGACTTTCTTATTTTAAATTTATTTAAAAAGTCACTGGTAATATTCATGAATACTGTGAAAATGGATATACAAGCAGCAGACCTATAATTTTTAAGGTTTTGAGAGGTTTTGTCTGTGACTGTTTAAATTGGAGTGAAGTAGAAGAATGCAATGGGTGGGATAATTTTCCTCTGGTATTATTGTTCAAATTATTGTTCAACATGTTTATTTCAAAGACAAGGAAATTTAGCTAGCTCTCATTTTGTTGCTGTCAGACATGATAGCACTGACTTAAGTGAGATTCTCATCCTGTTTCTTAGCAAGTATTTATCAAGCTACCTACAACTTCCTAGATTTTGTTAGTTATAGCATATATTACATTAAAGTAGCTATAAAAACTTCTAAAATGAGGAAAGCCCATTATGTGTCTAAGGGGAATGTGGAAAATTAAAAACTCCAAAAGATGACTTCTTTTTTAGCATTTCTGTGCACTGTTGATAATCTTGTTTGCAGGTACAATGGAACAAGGATGAAAAAATAGGTTTTTTTAGAAGTTCCGACAGAAGTATGTCATTTGTTCAGTAGTTACTTACACATTCTGCCATAGAACAATCTGATGTCTATATATTGTCTTTTTACCTAATTTTTTATTTCGTTAGAAATTAAGACCCAACAGAAAACCCCAATACACAACTTCCCTTCCCCCTCCCCCAAAAGAAAACACCCTGCACACGAAAACCCTAAAAACCCTCTCCACATCCTGTAGCCTCTAATACAGAAGTACTGTGTTTCCTAGTTGGTGCTTGAATACCTATTCACTTCAAGTATTGCAAACGTGGGCTCACAGAAGAGAGTTCTGGAAAAGGTCTGACCGACCCACAAGACAGCGTTGCTGGGGTTTGAGTTGCTCACTCCTCTGGAAGCTTTGCTCTGAGTGTGTTTTTCTCTTCCTCCAGAATCACTGCTCTGCCAAGCAAATGTTTGCTCTCGTACCTGTGCCATGCACTGACTGTTATTAACGCAGATGGACAGTCAGCACTGTCCTGCAACTGAGCTGTGAGGAAATGAGCCCCCCCAATGGTTTTTTGTAAACAGCCTCTTCCTTGTGATTAAAGAAGTAGCTGCTTTGTAACTTTAAAATTTTCATTTAAATCTTCTTTGATAAGAGTTCAAATGCCCAATTATGCAAAATACCCATATGAAAAAAAAAAACCACATTAATGGCGACTTGTTTTATGTAAAGTCAATTTCATGTATAGATTGGGAGTTTCTGTTTTAATTTTCCTTTAAAAGTTAACAGCAAATAAAGTCAGCATTTTCAGAGGAAATAGCTCATATTCTATGTTGAACAGCATGAAGAGCCAGACTAAATCAGAAAATAAACCCTCAACTGCTATAAATGCATCAAAATACATGTATTTTACAATGAGATACATGTCTGAAATGTGACATAGGTGTTTTCCAGTTGAAAAAGATGCCATACAAAGGATCAAAAAAACGTGGAATGCCTAATGAAAAGGGACAGCCTGGTTTTACAGTCTGGCAGGAGGATAGCCCTGAGATTAGGGGATTGAGCAAAAAGCCGCATGCAGAATTGCGGGTCTTTATATAATGGCTTTAGTAAGTATCCTTTAGGACCCAGTGGAAATGTTTATGAGGTAAACTTGGTGAGTAATGGCCAATCATTAAGCGGTGATGAGGGAAAATCTTTGAGTGCGAAGCCCCTGAAAGCCTGTCGAAAGCATCACGTCGGGAAAGCAGCGTTTCTGCCACTGATCGCTGACCAACGCGCGACACCGGAATTAGAGTTGATTCAATGTTTAAGCCCGGGGGGAATTGTACTACAGGAGGTCACTGGAGTGCAGAGTGCCCGGCTCCCATTTTCAGCAAGATGCCTTATTTTGCAAAACTCCTTTTATTAATCTTTTGTTTAGTTCTTCTTGTGGAAAGCAGAAAACACAGGAGGAGGAGGTGGACAAGCCAGCTGGATGTGCAGAGGGCAAGGTAAGCGTTACTAAAACACTGTATCTCTTTTCGTGGAATGTTACAAATACATAACTATGCGGACATAAAAACCTACTCTGTCAATATCTTTGTGTCTATTGTATGTGTAAAGAGCTTTATAGATAATATTTTTATACCAGTCGCTGGTAGTGTAATCAGTTTTAACTGTAAGTGGACACTTCTAATGCTAATATTGATTAACTCTGAGCGAGGCAGGTTTTGCAGAGAAGTTGACCACTTCAGCATGGATTATTATAAAATTATTCTTAGCCATATATGCAAATTACTGAGAGAATTCAGAGGAGTTGCAGTTAATAGAGATTTCAAATGTACATACTCTTTCAGCACTGTTTCAAGAGCAGATTGTTTACCTGCTTGCTAGAATACCTGTGCTACTTACGTTCACTTGGAATTGCCTGTTATTTTCTAGCAGTTTGAGATGGAGAGCATGCATTATGGTAATTAATGGTTAATTAAACCCTGGAAGTTATCCAGGGATTGTAAAATTAAAAATACATTTTGAAGAAATACATGGAATCTTTAAAAAAAATGTATTTTAAAGTCAAGCAAAGGCACAAGAAAGAGTTAAAGGTATTAGTAAAGTTTATTAGATTTACCATTGCTGAGATTTGTCCGGAGGTTTACATTAGAAAAGATAATCTTCCAAACCTGCCAGACAGTCCAAAGTATGTTATCCTTTTTTGTGGTTATGTCATCCAGTGGCAATTATATCTTACAAGACTATTCATTGTTTGAAGGGCTCAAAAATAAAATTGGGTTAATCCATCTTATTAAATGGCCTCACTATGGCTGTAAACTTTCATATTTTCCCTTATTTTATTGGGCTTTTTGGTTTAACACTCAATACTTATAAGGAATGTTGTTACTTGAATGTTTTGCAAATAAATGGGATGTAATTGGAAGCAAAGAATACATAATATGCTATCAGATTTACACTACTTATTGAAAAAATACAGTGGCATATGCTTTTAGTGACTTTAATGTTATAAAGCTGAAACAGCCAGGGGCTGATCCTGAAATCCTAAAGTCAACTGAAGTTTTACTACTGATTTCCACAGAATCGCAATTGTTGAATGAGATCTTTCATTTAACTCTGAAAATATTTCAAAGTCTACATTCTGGGGATTGTGCAGGATTCAACAGTAGCATTTCCTTGCAAACCAGTTGTGTGTAGTAGAGGTCATTTGCTTTGAAGTAACAAAATAGTATAAATCCTTCTTTAAATATTGCTCAAAAGTAGTACCATTCTCTGGGTTAAAAGTTTTATACTTCATTTGAAGGTGGTGAAAATAGTTTACTGTTTTTACAGTGCCATTATTTTTGTGAGCTGTAATAGAGTGGTAGTCAAAGCACTGCTAAAATTATTTTTATAAATATACTCCAAAGAATAACTGATACTATTTAGTTTTCTGTGATGTAATGGTTTTAATGAACAGTTTTCCAGTCAGGTAGAACATGAGGAACTATATATTTTTTATATATATATATATATACACAATTATATATTTTATATATACACACATACCCCCCCATACAATTCCTATGCAATATGGTTATTTAAAAGTATATAAAAAGAATTTTTATGGACTATCAAATGTGAATGATAATTTTAATACAGAGAACTCTGCAATGTTGTGACAAAAAGAAGTGTATGGAGCAGTGTCAATAATATTTTAAATTTCCTGTTACATAGAAAAAATGTAGTTGTCTCTAAACCAGCAACAAATAGTGGACTCATCTAGTAAAAGGAAACAAATGCTGTTTCCTATGCTGGTTTCCCAATCATGCAAAAGAAATTTAAACAATGATCTTTCGAATAATTTAATCCCATTTTCTGCTTAGCATTTCTCTTGCTGACTCACCATAAGAAATAGAGTAAATTTTACAGTAAACATACTAATCAAGAAAAATGTGTTCCTATATTTGGGAATCTACATTTGATAAGTTTGATATTTTGTATCCATTAAGGGGATAAATCAACACGATCAAAGATCTTTATACTGACTTCAAGAAGATAGCTTGGGTTATGCAAGTGCAGAACACCTTCAGTTATGTAGTTTTTTACTTGTACATTGAATAGAGTTTCACGTTGTATAGAGGTCCTTACCCCCAGAGCTCTGAGGGCTTGGATAGCTGGTCCCACAGGTGCCAAAACAGCTGTCTGCCAAGGTTATTCAGGGAAGTGGTTGAGCCTGTGCCTTATGGGAAAGGAATATGGGAGAGTCTGGTTAGGAACCCAGATTAAGAAATTCCAAGTTAAGGGTTGCCTCTGCACCCTTAATTACTCCCCTTGGTCTATGTTAATACTGAACTGTAATGCATTATTTTTTTTTTGATGAGTGGTGCCTTGCTCAGTGTGCAGAACAGATAATCCTTGCTTAGTTAGACACTGTGTTGCATTTAATATTTTCTTACTCCTGCGTCCCCCACCTGACTTATAACACGTCTCTTCTTCTACAAATTGAGGTATAACTTAAAGAAACAACTGTTACTGTGCATCACTGCCCTGATCATTGCCTGGTGCAGCTTCATGTTATGCTTTAGAGGGCCCAGGCTTTGCATAGAAATTCGGTCTGTGCTCATCAAGTAGCAGGTCCTGGCTTTGTACTTTGATGGTGGTTTTTCACATTTTCCGGGGTGTACAGTCTCTGCCACTTACATTGCAAAACCGAAGGATATCAGTGATTTGTGTGAGGTTGAGGGCACTCTTGCTAATTTGCAAGCTGACAAATGGTGCACAAAACCAAGGGCTCATAACTAACCAAAACATTGGTTAAAAATTTTTGCATTTCATTTTGTTTGGAAAAGTCAAGTGATAAATGAACCGCAAAGCAAAGCCTTTTGTCAGAGTCCCCTGGGTGACTGCTGGGCAGGGCAGGCTGGCCCCTGCCTTACCCACGCACCAGGGAATAAATTTCCAGAGAGGAAGAAGAGACTGGTGCTGAAAGAGACAGTATAAGTGTGGAAAGGTGCAGGTATATGTGTTGAGTGGTCTGTGCTGCCATTTTGCTGGCTGGGATTTGCCAGAGAGCGGGGTACACAGTCTAGGCTAATGCTGCCAGGGCATGTCCAACTTGCTATGAGTAGTGCTGGCTTGTACACAGTGTGTGTATCTGTGCTTGGAGCTTCCTCAGCACATCGGCCTTACTGTAAGTGCTAAGCAAGTGCTGCTGGAATGTCCAACACTGAGTTTTTGAAACAGTTTGGGGTACTCTTCAGTACATTGGCAGTGGCTGCCTCTCAGGAACTGCAAACAAATGCAGGTAGTCCTTCTAGATTATCCAGCTGGACAGAATTTCCACTCAGAGAAAAAGAAGCTCTGAGAATTACTACTTTTGTTAATATTTATTGCTCTATAACAATTGCTGATAAAGCTTCTGGTAATGTGTATTGCTCTGCATAAATTGAGAACTCAATTTACCACCTGGATTGTGCCAGTGAATGCCGTGTTTCCAGCAACCTACACTCACCTAACTCCAAGTCTGCCTGTTCCTCTCTCCTACCATGCGAAGCCTCGTGCTTCAATCAGCAGAAACATTGTGCCTTTGAAATAGAAGTGGCTTTGAGCTTTTGTTAGCTAAAGACTTCCTGCCAAGATTTTTGGAAGTGGTAAGTGATTTGGAGTATCTCATTAGAGATGCAGTTTTCAGAGTATGCTACATGCGAGTTCTAATTTGGGACTCAGAAGCAGAAGATGACCATCAGGGCATGGCAGCACAAGGCTCAGCACAAAGACTGTTTTTCCAAACAGCAGTCCACTGGAGTAAGGGGTCTAGTGATCCCTGCCGAAACTGCTGCTGCTGGCAGCGACTTCCCTCTACTTTCTTGCAGAGCTGCATTTTTATCACATTTTTCAACCAGATAATGCAGACGTCCTCTAGCCTGTGGTACCTCCCAGGCCCTACAGAATCCCTCTGCTCTATGGTGGTTTCTCAGAAAATTTCGAGTAAGTGGCTCAGTGATTAAAATGTTGATAAACATTTTTTACAGGTGTGTTGCTTGTCTGGGACTCAAGTCCAGGGCATTGCAGAACCTCTAGTTGTGTGAGGTTTGATGTCTCCTGGGATCTTTTCCCCAACACTGCAGCGTCATAGCAGTGAAACAAAAGCAGGGAGAAAATGTGTACGATAGCAGTGATTGTGCACACCCTTTGATCTTGTGTCATCATTTTCCGGAGTCTGGCTTAGTTTTTCTAGAAAGCTGGCATGGAAAATCACCTTCTTTCCTGCTTTGGAACCTACAGACAAGTTAAGTGTTACATCCAGAAGTTGGGCAACAGAGTATCTCTCCCCTGGTGAGATGGTACGATCTCTCCCATGGTACGGCCATCCATGCAAACCAAGATAGACCTGTCTTCTTGTGGAGATGCCAGGGCTTCTTGGGCAGCGAGGGCTCCTCTAGCACTTGAATTGGTGGCCCTGACAGGCAATGGAAAGAGACTTTGACAAAATTGAGGACCTTGAGGTTTCCAGCTTGTCAGAAATTTCTAGCCACATCTGATCCCATGTGATGCACGTACGTTAAGATTAAAGATACACATCTATGTGGGCTACACTCACAGCACAATGGAGATAATAAATTTGGAATGCTTATCTAGGAGTGAGCTAAGTTGTCATGACAGTCACAAACTGTTCTTGTACCTTCTGTTTTTCATTTAGCTTCTAGGAGATCTTTGCAGCAGTCACATGTTTTGTTGATTAGAAAAACAGGAGGTTTTGTACTTTCTTGGTGCTGAGTTTACACAGTGCGCAGGTCTCCTCCAGCTCGCTGTGGCTGCTACACAAAGTAAATGACACCTTCAACCAATGCATTTTGGGATTTTTTTCCCCCAGAGAATATACTGGTGAGGTAAGATTTCGTTGAAACTGTATCAATACTTTTCTGAATCTCAAGAGCTAATTGGAACCAAGGTCCCACGACCATGAGATACCATTTTGTGACCAAAGACAATGCTAAATTTCCCAGAGGAAGGTGCAGATACCTCACAGACTCTGGCTGCCAACAGCTGCGCCATGCTCAGGATGAAGATCACGTTCACTTTCACACTCACTACTTAGCTATTGCCTTACACCCTGTGGCATGAGGACTGTTTCCAATTTGATAAGTTTTTTTATCTCACTCTAAAACATCTGAATGTCTGCATAGATACCCACTTTTCTGAGTCCTGCTGAGCTGTTATCTGTAATTTCTCATGCCATCAATAATTAATTTTCTTTGATATATTTGGCAATATAAGAAGCATTTTATGCAATTGAGAACAATTCTGAAAAAAAGTGACTGGAAAGGAAAATATATATAAAAAAAATAGGGCAATAATAGAGAAGCCTTTACTGAAGCTCAGTGAGATACCCGTCCCCTTCTCTCCTCTGTAAACAGGAACAATTCTTCACAAAAGTCAGATTTATCAAATTCATCGCCTTTGAATGAAGTACAAACAGCAGTAAAATTATATATGAAAAACTTGGCAAAAAAAGAGGTGGGGCAATGGGTGGCTTTAAATGAATAGTGGTGAATGACAGAGAGTGCATAAAGCTGAAAGAAACCCTGAGAAATCTGTAATCAGAAATGCTAAAGACTATAAATACATTGGGGAGGATTTCTGAGATAGCAGTGATCAGATTGTCAGTAAAGGCGCCCGATGGGCAACAGTATTCAATGCATCCTTCAGCTCTGCAAAAGCACTGGCAGCTCCCCATGCCAGTCAGCAATGGGTGTGGCGTGGGGTACCTGCCAGAGAGGGTCAGAAGATACTGCCATAGTTGATGTTAAACACTGTTATAAAGATTTTTTTTTTCAAACAAATTTGATCTTGAATTGGATTAAATAGACAAAAGTAGTTGCACATTTCAAAGGCTGTAGAGACTTCCTGTCATTAAAAATATCTTGGTACAAAATCTTTGTAAATGGATTAATTTGATTAGAAAGGACAGAGTTCTATCTATAAAGTCTGAGTTGTCCAGCACCTGAAGGATTGGGCGTGAACTGATGATTAAATGCTGGCTATTAAATGCAACTCCTGGCTGTGGAAGTGCCTGAAAACCTGTCTCTTTCCTGAGACAGTGTCTGTGTCCCCAGCCAGCCCTCTGAAGCCTCAGTGGCCACAGACTGTTCTCAGCAGCTCTCCTGTGTGTTCTTTGCTGTTTGATGATTTTTAAAAGAATTGATCAAAGCACAGCATTTCAGTGATGCTGAGCCATCGATTTAGAAGATGGCACTGTAATACTGCCAGGGTTTTCTGTACTAATTCCTCATACAGCGGGCAATCCGAAGTTTTATTGGATTTTTAATTAGATTTTTTTCCCCATTCTTTGAGGAGAGAGACTTGATTGAACATTCAGCGGTACTTTGGCCTTTCCCAGATAATTAAAATCAAGCAGACACGGGAAGATCCTGCTTCCCCACTTCCAGCTTTTCAGGCGTAGAGGCAGTACTGTGGATGGCAAAGCGAAGCCCTAACCTTTGCAGAGAAGCAAAGTTTCCCCCCTGCAGCAAGCAGTTAAAAGCTAAACTTTTGCCTCCAACCATTCCCATTAGTGACTGGACTTGGTTTGACACCCTGCTTTTAGGTAACCATTAGTGCAGCTGTGCCAAGCACGCTTGCTCCAGCTGGCTCTATTTCACAGCCAGCAGGGAGAGAGATGCTCTGAAATCCTGACTGAAACAGGAGCCCAAAGTGATGTAAGAAGGGTCCAACGTTTTCTATGTGGCATGTGTCCTGGAGCACAAGGGGTTATATTCCCTCAAAACATCCATTCGATATATTTATTTTCAAATTTTGTTGCTTCCTTTTCACCTCCTTATTAAAGTAAATGGGTTATTGATGTTAGCAGCAGCTATCAACACCCCCTAGGTTTCGTAGTTTCTTTCCTGAAATGAGCGTTCTGATGGGAAACTTTTCTTCTGATTGGTGATTTATGATTTTTGCTCCCTTTGCCTCATACTCATCATGCTTTGTATTTTAATGAGGCCAAGCACATCACTTTCTACAGCCACGCTTATGAGTGTGGTGATTGTTTTGTAAGCTCTGAATTTTTCACCAAGATTTTAAGCCTAAGTAGTCTCTTTATTTTTTCTCCAAGATTTTTTTCTTTATTTTCAGTAATATTTCTTTCACACAGGCAAAGGAATCTGAACCCTTTTGTATAAAGTTCTTTATCATTATTACTTTTAGTAAGTTACTGACAAACAGCTCATTGCAGCAATATTTGTAACTTTGTTGTATCTTACGTCCGGAACAGAGGGAGGAACCTTAATGGTCCAAGTTCTCCATCCTGCACCACTGGAGAACAGCCAGGGATGCTGATCTGGATTTTCTTCCAGAAATGTATATTTGTCTGCCGTTTAGTTATCCCCCTATGTGATTTTAGTGACTATCTTGCACTTTTCTTGGGGGTTTGTTGTCATCCTTGTCATATCATTATCATATAACGTATCAAATAAAAGGTTAGAATTTTTCCTACCTTAATATTCGGGAAAGTGAAGGATTGCAGACTTCTTTAGCTAAAACTCCTCTTTTCCTGCTGTTGAAGGGAGGAATGGGTGGTTTTGTTGTTGCTGAAAGCCAGAAGACAAAGCAAACCCTCTGTCCACACAAACTGCTGGCACTGAAGTTCACTCAGAATAGTGTATGACATTGCGTGACCACCATCGAAAAGAGCTTTCTCATGACAATGTTCCTTGGTACCTGGCCAAATCCTGGCCAGGTAACGTGGGGGCAGCCGGCTGCTTCTGCCGTTGCTTGCTCTGAGCCGTGACATTTGCTGCATCCCAGCTCCTCCATGAGATGCTGTTCTCTCAGCCTTGTGCCTCCCTGGGAGCTGTGGTGTCTGGGGTGAAGGGAGCACCGTGTCCATCTCGGACTGGGGCAGAGAGAGCAGGGCACCTGTGGGGGCACAAAGTGCTGTGGAAAAGCGGCATTGTGTCTGTGCTGTGGTGCTGGCAGCCTCCCTGCTTCCCTCCCTCAGACTGTGCCTACAAAGCTGCTGCTCCTGCAGGTCCAAAACCGGGCTGGCAGAAGTCAGCTGCAGCTCAGGCATAGAGACATTGGACCAATGCTGTTGCTGTCTTTTGCAGTCACATCTTTAAGAAGAATCATGACTTGACCAAAGCTTGGAAAGGAAAGACAGAGCAGCTTCTCAGAGTCGATGAACATGACTTCACCATGAGGCCAGCTTTTGGAGGTAAGAATAAAATGGTTCTCTTGTTTTCATGTTCATTTAATTAAAAATAATCTAATTATCCAATTAACAATCTCATTTGAAAAGAAACAAGCAAAACACCAAACCTCTGGCCAAATGCATCAGTGTGAAGGGAAGGGACTTGGTGCCAAATCAGAGAGGCCTCATGCTTATCTCATAGCCCTCTGTGCTCTGTACAGTTCCTACATTCCTTCCTGTTGCTGCATTTGAGTTTTTTTGGCTGTAATTCCCCAGAGCTCAGGATGGACCCTGCCAGTAAGTGTTTCACTCTACTGAGAAGAGGAACAAGCCACAGGTTTTAGTGTTCACTTGTAGTTGAGAAGTTTCAATGAGTTTTTCAGCTGATGTTATCAAATTGCAAAATAAAGAACTCATTAGGTGGATCACATCCCATCCCATCCAGATAAAATCTTGTCTCAAACTCTCTAAGACAACCAAAAGAGTGGAAGAGTCCTCTGTGTCCTTCACTTCTGCCTTCTGTCACACCCAGTTACAGGAATGTGCTTGGCTGACCTTGCTAGGCTCACTACTGCAGAGATAAGAGAGTATCTGAATAAAAATGTGCTGGAATACCAGATGGAAAATGCTCTTCTGATTAGATCAATAACCAAGCCCCTTCAGAGCTAAGGACAGTTTTCTGTGGTTTTCATTGAATGGCTAATACTGCATCCTTTGTCCATTGGCCATCTAGGGTGAAGTGCTACTTCTCCCTGTCTAGTGAGACTCACAAGTGTTTTACCTTTTGCACCTCATCTGTAGAATGGAGCTTCTTGGACCTGCTCATCCCTGGTGTGACTTGAAAGATGTTTCTCTCCCCACAGTGCAGATGTGATGTTCTAAGAGCACAGTGCTGTCCCCATGCTGACAATTTATATGTATGTATCTCCATACTCCAGAGTTCAAATGTGTCATCACCAGTGACTCCTACCTGCCCCCCACTGTTATTTACTAGCAAGTTGCAGTCCAGCCTGACCATTGGAGGTAAAACTTCTTTTGCTAATCAGTGTTAAACTTGATCTGCTATTTCTAGGGTTGAAGAATTTGCCCTAATTTGCTCTCTGGGTGGAGCATAGGCAGATCTCTTGGGGCTGGTGTGAATACACCTGACAATCCATGGGGTGCAGCTGAGGCTCAGGGCTGAGGTCTGGGAGCTGGCTCTAGAAGCACTGGACATGAAACCTGCTCCTGCTCCTTTATGACTCGGCTGTAAAAATGATGGTGAATGAGCTGCTCTCAGGTCCTCCACCTGCTTCAGATAAAGCAGGTGATACTCCAGTGATACTGCTGCACCAGTCTGTGGTTAGGGAAAGGGAGATAATCCCTGGCATTTCCTTTCCTGCCAGGCTGCTTCTTTGGGAAGTTGAGCCTTTCAGCAAAGTGGATTTGGGAAGGAACCTGGCTTCCGAAAAATGAAAAGACCAGGGAGACATGAGATTGGTTTCATCGACTCACCTAAATCCTCTTGGTTCCAGGATGAGATGGTCACTGTCAGGAATGTCCAGCCAACCATCTTGTGGGCTTAACCCCCTGTTTGTTTGTTTATTGGTCTTTGTTTTCTTTACCTGGTTTTCTAGGCTTCTTTTTTTTCAATCTTCTGTCCACAAAGCCTGGACCTGTGAGGCGTTGGCTGGATGTCCACTGCCTTCAGTCTGGCTTTCTTTTGTTGGCATGCTGCTCCTTCACGGATAGTGGTGATCCCACACAGCTTGCCTGGCACAGCAGTGCTTTGTCACAGAAACACAGAATGGTTTGGTTTGGAAGGGACCTTAAAGATCACCTAGTTCCAAACCTCCTGCCATGAGCAGGGACACTTTCTGCTAGACCAGGTTGCTCAAAGCTCCATGCAACCTGACCTTGAAGACTTCCAGTGGGGGTATTAACAATTCACTGATTTTGATCAACACTTCATTGATTTCTGTCACTAGTATGTTGTGTTCTGAAGGTGGATAGGCAGCTGTGTGATTTCGCACACATGAACAGGGATTGCTGATTTGCTCTGCTTCAACTTCCCTAACAGACTGGACACTGAGAAGCAGATACTGTGTTCTGTTGAGTGAGTTCACTGAAGTGTATGTGCCTCCCTAAATGTCATGTATGCCCTGCCTTGCTATAAGCTCAGAGGCTGCAGTGTTAGGTTTTCAGATTTTTTTTAATCCAACCTCAGTTTTTTGGAGCTTGGCTGATGACTTCTGAGTGCCTAATGTGGACAAACTGGAAGACTGGAGCCTCTCTGCAGCTGTTACCACTCCGGACAAAAGACCTGCTGGCTACTGAGTCTGATAGAGTGGGATGAGAGGGCTTCTCTAGGAGGAGATTTGGACTCCTTCCCATGACTCAATTGAAGATAGCTGTGGAGCCACACTGATTTTTAAAACTTTTTTCCCCTAACTGGATATATGTCAAGGCGTGATGTCTGTGTTCTGTGGGAAAGCTATGGGGATTTATTCTGTTGTGCTGATGGTTTAGGTTTTGATGCTTAGTGGCACCACTGCACTATATTTCTGGAAACCGATCCAATTTTTACTATGTTCATCAGTATCACAGAGCCTGTGAGGAACACTTTTGTGCATGTCACACCAAACATACGTACGTAATTACAGAGTCACTCTTCCCGTGCTAATACAACTGCATTTTAATCTCCCTCTTGTCTTGTTTTCCCATGCTAACTCCAGTCACAGCATAAGATACTTCTAGAGCCAAAAGTCTTCTACTAATATTTATAAAATTGAGAAATATCCTAACAGCCTTTATAGAGAAGGTGCCTTTATTTATAAAGGAAAAACATAGTTTTTTTTTAATTTTTGCTTAAAACCTCCTTAATTTACCGAGGTTCTTGGGATAAAGATGTGGGATTAACAAAGTCGTGCTGAAGTTGCATGTGATAAGGAACAAAGCATGGAAAGAGCTTCATTGAGGCTACAGTCTTGGAAAGCATGGCTTACACAGGGATAGAAGGTGCTACAAGTTCTTACACCCCTGCAGTGTATTTTTAGTGACAGACGATAAGCCTGATGGGCAAAAATCTGGTAAGAGGCAATCCTCATACTTTCTTCTGTAATGTTATTTGTCAGGCAGTCACAGTGATTTGCTATGCACTGTGAGTCCTTCCAGTTTTTTGCTGTGGCAGTGTCAGTCAAACTGATGTGGTCTGACCTGCATAGGATAAAAAGGCTTTTGTATCGTGGAAGCAGAGAAGAGGAGCCTCTGGGGCGGCATGTGGCTGTAACCGGTCGCTGCCCTAAGACCCTCTCTGAGAGCAGTTCAAGGACCATGGTCTAATAGAAATTCCAGCCTTGTGGCATTGCATTGGGCTTGTGATGTTATGATGCAGGTGGGAAAGGTACTTCAATTCTGGAAAACACAAATAATATAATGAGGAAATTTTGACTGACATTAGACTAAAGAGAAACCCAGTACTGTAAACGTGATGGTTCCCAGGTTTGGTGGACCAGTTTACAACTTCACTATTGAACTTTAAACTAAAAAGGGGTTGGGGTGTGAGCTGCTTAATGGTGGCCACAGTGACTCTTGCTGGTCTGCAGAGGACAGTCAGCAAGCTGCCAGCCCAACACAGCTGTGACCACTGGGCAGAGCAGGCTAGGGTTATGCAAGGTGAAATGGAAAAAAACCCCCAACATTAGAGAAAGGTGAAAGGTTTTCCAAGAAGAAGTACCTTTGTAAAGAGCAAGCGAGTAAACAAATGTTGTGTAAGTTGTGTTATTAACAGCCCAATAAGCATGGTTGTCTTGCCTGCTCCCAGTCCACTAGAGACAGGCGACTGGGTACAGAGGCAATGACAAAGGTTTTTGCTTTGTTGATGGTCAAAGAGACTCCATAAGCTAAAAGAGACTGCAGGGTTTTTGACCCTTCGGGAGTTATCTCCGTGTCAGTGACCTTGTTCTAGCTAGCAGATGTTCAGGTATTATTTACTATTATTAATTTTTAAAGATTATGTAAATGTTTGTTTTACTGCCTTCCTTAAACACCCATTTTAAGCATTTCATCTATGACATCTCATATTTTACAGGGAGCCCATGAATAAGCAGCTTTAGTTGATACTTAAAATAGCTGTATCTTCTTTATTGAGGGCTAGCCTAATGCTTTACTTTTATTATATTTGCTCGTAGCTTAGTAGCCTAACTTCAGCTGGTCCTTGCTTCCCTTTCTGGGCAGTATTTTTGCCACGATGGATGAATAAGGGGATGAATAAGGCACAAGTAGTTCACTTAGCGTTACTATCAAGGGCTGGAATAAAACTTGCTTCTCTGCTAATGAACAGCTCTCAGTGAGATGCAGAGGAACGAAGCTCTCTGCTGTCATGAGGCAGGTGATGAACATATCCTGGTCGTGGCTGCCTGGAAGCTGCCCACATCTAAGAGGACCCATTCATATACATATTCATTAAAAAGTAAATATATATGTATATGAGCACACACACATGTATGAAGATACACTGAAAACTGTTTTGCAGCTTGCGGGCATGGAATCTCTTATGGATGTTTGCAGCCCCCCTGGGTGTGCACGAGATGTCTGTCAGTAAAGAAGTCTCAAACCTACTCATTTCCCATGTAGATATTTTTATCTCAGGGCCTACATGTGCCTCACTCCTCCAAAGATACATGAGAGAACAAAGATACTGTCTCAGAGGGAAACAATGAGCCTTTGAAAGCACTGCCAAAGAGAAAAAATAAAGAGATGTCACAAAGCTTTAGTCTCAGAGCTGGGTGGAAAACTGACTCCAGGCATCTTCATGGTAACACGCTCTTCCCTATCTTCCAAAGCCTGCTCCAGTGTTCAGAAATAAAAAATCATGTTTGTGCCCAGTTCTGACTGGAAGTGACTCACTCTTTGAAGATTTCACGCTGCTCCTTGGTGAGTGTTTTTAGGTGCAGAGACTGGGGTGCAACAAACTTTAGTGTTGGGCATCTTCTGAAGTCATTCCTGAACAGGACTTGTGGAAACCTCCTGAGTTCCCTGGAGAG